TTCTTGAGCGTATATAGTTTACTCAACATCTACTCTTAAAGAGAGTCTTGTTCTTGAGTGTTCTTAGTGTTGTAAACACGTTTAGGGAAGCTTGTTTCCCTTGGTTGTACGAAGGAAAGGTATTTTCCTTCGGGTTGAAGTCTTGGAGTGCGGTATCTCCGAGCAAGTGTATTGAGGATCGTGGGACTCGAGTTCTCAGATTGTAACGGTTTGTTAAGCACCCGTAAGCTTAACGGAAGTAGTGTAGCTCTAGAGAGTCTCTCGGGAGGCTGGATTAGCCACAAGTTGTGGTGAACCAGGGTAAATCTTGCTGTGCTCCCTTTACTCCTTTTTATTCTGCTCTTTACTTTATCCCTGCGATTTTTATTCCGCGAAAATTTATAAACATTCTCGTGCCTCACTATTCACCCCCCACTCTAGTGAAGGGCACTTATTCTAACAATTGGTATCAAAGCCTAACTCGCGTCCAAACTTAACCGTTTGAGAGTAAAGCGATCATGGGTTCTTCTTCTAGAAATCTTTATGCAGGGATTGGAGAAGGTCAATCAACTACACGACCACCTCTTTTTGATGGAACCAATTATACATATTGGAAAGAACGAATGAGAATCTATATTCGTTCCTCGAACTTCCAATTATGGTTGGTTATCAAAAACGGGGAAGAGGTGTCGATGAAGAAAATGGGAGACAAGTTGATCCCCAAGACCGAAGACGAGTTTGATGCCGAGGACATCAAAAAGGTCGAGAATTATGCAAAGGCAATAAACATGCTTTATTGTGCCGTAAATCCTGATGACTACCGCAAGATCTCCCGCTGCTCAACCGCCAAGGAGATGTGGGATAAACTTGAGGTGACGTACGAAGGAACGGACCAAGTTCGGGAAGCGAAAATTGACTTCCTAACGCAGGAGTATGAGATGTTCAGGATGAAACCAGGCGAGAAGATCGACGACATGTTCAATCGCTTCTCGAAGATCACCAATGATCTTCACGCCCTAAAGAAGACGTATGCCAACAAGGACCTCGTGAGGAAAATCCTGCGGAGCCTCACCCCCGAATGGAGATCAAAGGCCGACGCCATCTATGAATCCATTGGAGTCTCCAACGTAACCATCGACGGATTAAGAGGTAACCTTAAAACTTATGAATCTACAATTCTAACCCCGTCTTTGGATGAA